TCTCTCCCTACCACCACCACCTCCTCCCCCTCTCCTTCTCCACCACCACCTCCTCCCCCTCCTCCTCCTCCACCACCACACCACCTCTCCTCCTCTCCTCTCACGCACCACCTCCCTCCTCCTCTCCTCTCCACTTACCACCCCGCCTCCTCCTCCCTCCCTCCTTTTCCACCACCACCTCCTCCTCCTCCTCCTCCTCCTCCACTACCACAACCACCTTCCCTCCTCCCTCCTTCTCTCCTCTTCCTTCTCCACCACCACCACTCCTCCACCACCTCCACCACACCACCACCTCCTCCTCCTCCACTACCACCACCTTCCTGCTCTTCCACACCACCACCCTTCCTCCCACCACCTCCACCACCACCACCACCTCCTCCTCCTCCACTACCAACCACCTCCTGCTCTTCCACCACCACCACCCTCCTCACCACCCACCACCCACCACCACTCCTCCTCCTCCACTACCACCACCTCCTGCTCTTCCACCACCACCACCTCCTCCACCACCTCCACCACCACCACCACCTCCTCCTCCTCCACTACCACCACCTCCTGCTCTTCCACCACCACCACCACCTCCTCCTCTATTTACTCTACATCCTCCTCCTCCTCCTCCTCTTCCTCCCTCTCGCCGAAGCGGCCATAGATCCTTGTCACGATCATCTCCTTATAAGGGTTAGTGGGCATTATAATGTCTTACCTGTCTCATTCATTTTCATTTTCTCTTTCTTAGTTTCTGTTTTTTTTTCGAAATTGTCTTTCTTTTTTTCGAAATCGTCAGACCTTGTTTGTTAGTTTTGTTTCTTCTTATTATTACCATTGTTATCATTATTATCATCATTATTTTATTACTTTATGGATTTGTAGGGATGCATTATTTTTATATTTCATTTATTTATCTTATTTTTATTTATTTTATTATCATTATCGTCATTATTTTTGCTATTATTATTATTATTCTCATCATTATTATCATCATGATTATTTCATCTTCATCATTATCATTATATCATCATTATTATATCTTCATCACTATTATTATATCATAATCATTATATCTTTATCTCTCTTCCGCGTCTTGTCTCTTATTCCTTATCTTTTCTCTCCTTCCACAATTATATAAAATCCGTAAGAAAAAGGAGAAAGAAATTAAGTCGTATTATTCCACCACCACCTCCACCTCCCCTCTTCCTTTACCCTCTCCTCCTCCCTCTCCCCCTCCTCCTCTCCTCCTCCACCACCACCACCTCGTCTCCTCCTCTTCCTCCTCCTCCTCCTCCCCACCTCCTCCTCCACCTCCTCCCTCCATCCTCTCTCCTCCTCCTCCTCTCCTCCTCTCCTCCCACCACACCTCGTCCCCTCCTCTTTCCTCCTCCTCCACCACCACCACCTCTCTCTCTCCTCTTCCTCCTCCTCCTCCACCTCCTCCTCCACCTCCCCTCTCCTCCTCCTCCTCCTCCTCCTCCTCCTCCTCCTCCTCCTCCTCCTCCTCCACCACCACCACCTCGTCCTCCTCTTCCTCCTCCTCCTCCTCCCTCCTCCACCATCATCCTCTTTATTCTTATTCTATTTCTGAAATTTTATTGAGTTAAAAGACTTTTTTTCCTTGACTTCATTTTTTAATTCCTAATTTTCGAGGAGATGGAGCTTTTTATGATATGATTTTTTTTTAGATTTTTTTTCATGACCTGGAATTTTGGTGACTTATTTTTTTTACTTTTTTATTCTTAATTTTGGGTGATTTAGATTTTTTTTTTTTTTTTTTTTTTATCCTGAATGTTTGGTTGGTTTAGAAAGTTCTTTTAATCATGAATTTTGGTTGATTTAGAAAGTTGTTTTTTTTCTTGAAATTTGATTGATTTAGAAAGTTCTTTTTGTCATTTTGGTTGATTTAGAGATTTTTTTTTTGGTCTAAAATATCGTTAGTTTAGAAACATTTTCATCATATTCTAAGTTTTGGTTGATTTAGAAACATTTTTATACTGAATTTTCGTGGATTTGGAAACATTTTCCCTGAAGTTTCGTTTATTTAGAAATGTATAGTTTCGTTAATTTGGATATTTTTTGAATTCTGAATTTAGAAACTTTACTTCTCGTTAATTTTCGCTGATTTAGAAACATTTTAATTCTTATTTTTATCCTAAATTTTCGTCGTTTAGATTTCTTCTAATCCTGATTTTTCGTCGATTAGAAACCTTATCGTTAAATTTCGCTGATTAGAAATTTTTTTCGTATTATTATCATAGTTTTTGATATTTAGGGCAAGGAATGTGATCCAGTTTTTGTTGATTTTTATTTTTTTTTGTCCTGATTTTTTATCGATTTAGAAAATGATTTTTTTTCCCTCATCCTGAAATTTCAAAGATCCTGAGTTTTTGTTGAATTACTAACTTTTTTTTTTTTTTTTAATTTCGTTGATTTAGAAACTAATATTCTTTTCTAATAAATCCTGAATTTTCTTTCTAGACATTTTTTTTGAAATTCTAAATTATCATTGATCTAGACTTTTTTGAAATCCTATTTTATTTTATTTTATTTTTTTTTTTACTGATTTAGAGCCTGAATTTTCGTTGATCTAGACATTTTTTTTAATTCTAAATTTTCATTTTGAAATCCTAAATTTTCTTTGATATAGAGCCATCTTTATCCTGAATTTTCTTATCCACAGTCATGTTGATTTAGATTTTTTAAATTATTTTTTTTACCCTGATTATCGTGGATTTAAACTTTTTTTTACATCCTGTATTTTCACTGATTTATATATATTTTTTTTATTCGGAATTTTCATTGTTTGAAGTTTTTCTTTATCTCGAATTTCGTTTATTTAGATCCCCTTTTATCCTCATTTTTCGTGGATTTAGACTCCTAAATTCTCATTGATTTTAAAATCTATTTTATTCTGATTTTTTTTTTTTTTTTACTCAGAAATATCGTTGATTTAGAACCCTTTTTATACCGAATTTTCACTGGAATAAATCTCAATTAAATTTTCTTTTAAATCTCAAATATTCGTAAATTTATAATAATTTTTTTTCATTATTTTATCCTGAAATTTCGTCCATTTAATCCTACATTTCGTAATAGATTTTCGCTGATTTAGAGCCTTTTTCATCCCAAATATTCGCCGATTTAGAGCAACGAATAGAAAAGAATGAGAAAAAGAAATGAGAAAAAGAATGAGAAAAAGGAGAAAAAAATGAGCAAAATTAGAAAATGAGAAAATGAGAAAAAGAATGAGAAAAGAAAAGAATGAGAAAAAGAATGAGAAAAAGAATGAGAAAAAGAAATGAGAAAAAGAATGAAAGAAATGAGAAAAAGAAGGAGAAAAAAGAAAATGAGAAAAATGAAAAAATGAGAAAAATTAGAAAGAGAATGAGAAAAAATGAGAAAAATGAGAAAAAGAATGAGAAAAATTAATGAGAAATAGAAAGAGAAAAATGAGAAAAATTAGAAAAAGAATGAGAAAATTGAGAATTGAGAAAAAGAGAAAAAGTGAGAAAAGAATGAGAAAAATGAGAAAAGAATGAGAAAGAATGAGAAAATGAGAAAAATGAGAAATGAGAAAAAATGAGAAAAGTGAGAAAAAAGAGAAAAAGAATGAGAAAAATGAGAAAAAGAATGAGAAAAAGAATGAGAAAAAATGAGGAAAATAAGAAAAATGAGAAAAATTAGAAAAAAGAATGAGAAAATTGAGAATAGTGAGAAAAAAGAAAAAAATGAGAAAAAGAAAAATGAGAAAAAGAATGAGAAAAATGAGAAAGTGAGAAAAATGAGAAAAGAATGAGAATGAGAAAAAATGAGAAAAAATGAGAAAAAGAATGAGAAAAAATGAGGAAAATAAGAAAAAATGAGAAAAATGAGAAAAAAGAATGAGATCTCGAGCTGAGAAAGTTGCATCTTAAACCCCCTTTCATCTTTGGAGGATTCTGAGCTTTGCCTTAATTCTTGTAAAAAGGGAATTTCTTGGCTTTTATTTCTCCGGAAAATGTTTTTTATCTGCTTGTCCTGAGGAGCAAAACTAACCAGATAATTTTTTTTTTCTCTCTCTCTCTTTCTTTTTTTTTCTCTCTCTCTCTGTCTCTCTCTCTTCTCTCTTTTCTCTTCTCTCTCTCTCTCTCTCTCTCTCTCTCTCTCTCTCTCTCTCTCTCTCTCTCTCTCTCTCTCTCTCTCTCTCTCTCTCTCTCCCTCCTCCCCTCTCCCTCCCCCCCCCATCTCTCTCTCTCTCTCTCTCTCCTTTTTTTTTCTTTTCGTCTTTCAGGTTATGAAGATATAAGAAAGACTTTGAGTACTTTGAAGATGGTGGAGTAAGAAATTATATATTTTTGTTCTACACGTATGTGAACACGGATGTAGCGACACACAAACATAAAGAAAAATGTAAAGACACACAAAGATGAAAAACAAAGCGCACATAAATACATACAGTGACCTGAATTCACACGCATACAGACACACGCATTCAAACGTACACACACATATACTCATATATAAGCACTTACACACATATAAATTTAAACGCACACACACATAAGAACTCTCTCTCTCTCTAACACACACACTCACACCGACACACACACACACACACACACACGCACGCGCGCATAAGCACTCTCTCATACACACAACACACCTACACACACACACGAACAAACACACACACACACACCTACACACGCACACGAACACACACAAACATACACACACACACGAATATGCAAACACACACACACACACACACACACGAACATGCAAACACACACACACGCCCATAAGCTCTCTCTCACACACACGCCCATAAGCTCTCTCTCACACCCACGCACGCACGCAACACACACACACACACACACACAAAACAACACAAACACAATCACACGCCCACGCCACGCCCAAGGGGTATTCTCTCACGCTCTCTCACTAACGTCGCTAACCTTTACCGATCGAGAGCTCAAGCTTTCGTTTCGTTAATTTTAGAAATGTCGCATCAATACTATATCAACCTTCAATGGCTTTTATTCCTTCCGATTTTAGGCAAGTCTTTGTAATCCTGTAGATTTGCGATCCATTAAGGGTTCCTGAAATAGAGACGAAGTGCTGTCATGCACTTAGTCCGGTTTTTAGTCGTTTTTGTAACGAAGAGTATCGTTGTACAGCGGAATAAGATATACAGACACGCGTACGCACACACATATGGATAAGTAGGTACGTACACACACAGACACAGACATACACACACATAAACACACATACACACACACACACACACACACACACACACACACACACACATACACACACACACACACACACACACACACACATACACACACACACACACACACACACACACACACACACACACACACACACACACACACACACACACACAAACACACACACACACATACATACACACACAACACACACAAACACACACACAAACACACACACACACACACACAAACACACACACATATACATATGGAATAAAATTTCCATCCATGCCTTAAGTGCCGTCCCTCACCACCCGATCTCGATCCCGTCTCTTTCCATATTTCCATAACTTTTCCGCTCTCAAGTCCACCTCCTGGACCTCCCCCTTCCCCCACCATCCCCCCTGCCTCACCATCCCCCTAGACCTCCCGTTGCGACTCGACCTTCCCATCCTCCCCTGTCCACCAGAACTCTTCCCCCCCCCAGACCTCCGTCCCCCCTAGACCTCCCCCAGACCTCCACTCCCCCCTCCCTCCCCCCACCCCAGGTCCTCCTAACCCTCCTCCTTACCCCACCATCCCCCGACCTCCTCCACTCCACCCTCCCCCCTCCGGTACTGGGGAGCCGACTCCTCCCCCCTCCTAGACCTCCCCCTGCGGGAGACCTCCGGACCTCCCCCATCCTCCTTCCCCCACCCCCAGGAGGAGCGCCAGTGGCCGGCCGGTCTGACCGCAAATGAAATATTCATTCAACGGCGTCTCATCGGATCCCCTTCTTACGTAACCGATCCCGCTTGCTTCCGAGTCTGACAGCTGAGTGGGACTTATTCCCTGGCTGTCCCTCGGGCCTCTGGGCTGGGCTCGAGTGTCTCTGATTTGACATTAAGTGGGGGATTAAGTGTCAAGGTTGCGTGTTGGAGTTGGTCGTTCTATTGGTTTGTTTTAACTGGTTGGGTGGGTAGGTGGATGGATGGCTGTCCCTGTCTTTTTCTCTTGCTTTCTGTCTGTCTGTCTCTTTCTTTCTCTTTTGCACTCTCTCTCTCTCTCTCTCTCACTCTTCCTCTCTCTCTCTCACTCTCACTCTCTCTCTCTCTCTCTCCTCTCTCACTCTCTCTCTCCCTCCCTCCCCCCTTCTCTCTATCTCTATCTCTCTCTCTCTCTCTCTTCATACACACATACATCCAAATATCCAGTCTTTGTATATGTGTATATATAGATAAAAGCCTTATGCAATTCTGATATCATATACACATGCATAAAATGATAACACCCATGCACGTAATTTTATCAATATATGAAGATATTACTCCCAACTGATTAACAACCAATCTCCCCAAAACCTTGCAAGTGATTAGCGAAAGAGGAGACAAAATACTGAATGATTAGTCCCGTTGTAAACATGTTTCGTTCGTGTTTATGAGAAAACTCTTTGTATCCGGATATGCATATTTCCTTCTTTATTTTTCCTTCTGATTTTCACTCTATCTTTCCTTCTATTATTTCTTTTATCTTTCTATATACATTTTCCTTTCTTTTTTTCAACCTTTCATTTCGTTATTTCTATTTCTCTTCCTTCATTTTATTCTTTATTTTTTTTTTTCTTTCTGCCTTTAGTATCAATTATATCATGATGCGAAATCGAACTAAATCTTGGATTATCAACTCTCTGGATTGGCTAATCTATACAGTTGATTACTGGTTGATTTATACGCGTTAACGATATATAAAATTAGTCAACTCGTACACACACACACACACACACACACACACACACACACACACACACACACACACACACACACACACACTAGTATTAGTCCAAAAAACAATTTGTAGAAAATGAATATAGATATATTGCAAGTTCCAGAACTGCCTTTACTTGAGAACAATTCTGAAAGTTTTAGATCCATCTATCTCCGATTAGAAAAAAAAAAAAAAAAAAAAATCCAGAAGTGATTAGCTGCATAACTGCGATTTTGAACAACTGAAGGTATTAAAAAAGAAAGAAAGAAAGAAAGAAAGAAAGAAAGAAAGAAAGAAAGAAAGAAAAAAAAAGCGAGAACGTGTCTGACTAATTCAAATTTGACGAATTCACTGATGTTCTCAATGACTAATTCAGATCCAATTATCAAGCGCTTC